ACCCCGCGCCCCCCCCCCAGCCAGCCCCAGAAACCCCGACTCAGGCTGGGAACCAGGACACAGGGCTCGGGGGCCCCGCCCTTCACTCCTCTCCAGCCAAACAAAGTGCTCCCACCTCAGCCAGGCGGCTGAGATAAAGGGTCCAGGGTCGCGGGGTGGCACCTGTCTCCCCCCATGACGAATTCTAGGTAACCAGGTAGTTTATCAGACACGCGCTCTCAGCAAGTCTCTGCCTCCCCCAGGACTCGCAGCGAACCTGCCGGGGCAACGGCTCACGAGTGCCGGGCGGGCCGGTGCTTCTTGGAAGGTCCCATCCCCCAACACCCGGGTCAGGTCTTAGTCAAGGGCTGTCCAAGGCCGAGGGGGGAGGACGGCCGCAGGAAAGGGCACGTCTCCAGCACGGCCACTCTCACTCCCAAACGCTTCTGCAGCCAGTGAGCCCCCATCACACCACCGGATTGACCCAAACGCGGCAAACGTCCGGAGATCGTGGTGTTTACCTGCGAGGAGCAAATGAGCTTCTAGAAGCAGAGCTGCCCTCGTGGAATCTGATACGTTTAACGAGCATTAACACAAAACCCCAAGAACTGCCTCTGACTCACATGCCCCCCGCCCCCTTCACCTCCTGTGCCCCTGGCCTCAGAGGGTCTGTTATAAAACACGACCTTGATTGCCCTTGGTTTCCCCCTCGGTTTCCAATCTACTGTATCAGCACCAAAAGGTGAAACTGAAGTCTGAGAAAAAACACACCGGGCCGGCGTGGCTCAGTGGTAGAGTGTCGCATATGAACCAGGAGGTCACGGGTTCGATTCCCGGTCAGGGCACAGGCCTGGGTTGTGGGCTCGATCCCCAGAGCAGGAGGCAGCTGATCAGTGACTCTCTCATCATGGATGTTTCTCTCTCTCTCTCCCTCCCCGTTCCTCTCTCTGAAATCAATAAAAACATTAAAACACACACACACCCTGCAGCCCTTTCTGAAATGCCAGCCACTGTGCACACCTGTCTGTCCCCCCACCTGGAGGTGGGCTTTCTGTTCACGGAGTTCAATCTCCATCCCGGCCTACGGAAGCCTCAGGCTCCGGAGGAAGAACCTGATGTATTTATTCACTGAAACACCGATGCAATGAGCCCAGCACCGCCCCTTGCCTCCTGAGCGAGTGTCTTCAGTTCCCTCCGCACCTCCCCTCGCCCCGACTTGTGGAAAACTCGGCCCGTGAAGCCCTCTCTCTAACTCGTGAACGTGTGAAGGCTGCTGGACAGTGGCCCTGGAGGCCCATCCGAGGGCTGGCAGCCCACGAAGACGACGTGATCCGGGCTGGCCCTTTCCGGGCCCTTCGAACATGCTGGTGGCAGAGGAGAGGGGGCAGGTGGCACAGTGTCTGAGCCCCACATGCATGTGGGTGGAAAAGAAGATGCCACGTGCCACCCACCTCCCCACCCGACAGTTGTTTCTTCCCCCAAGTACCAAAGCCCATCGAGAGTCTCAAAACCTCGTGGCCGCTGGGAAAAGGTCACGGGCATTTCTTCCTCGGTGCTGGAGGAAAAGACTTCTGGCAAAAAAAGAACCTAAATGTCTGCGTACCGGTAAGTCCAGTATAGACCAGTGAATGTCAGGGAGGAAAAGCTCACAACAGGATCAAGGAAAAAAACTTCCCTTGTTCTAAAAACAGTAACTGATGGAGTCCGATGCGTGTGGGGAGGGGCAAGAGCGGGGCCGAGGAGGGAACGTTCAGGCTCCACCTCGAACGCCGAGGGCACAGCCTGTGCGCAGAGGAGGGGCAGACGCGCAGAGAGCGGCTCGTAAATGCCTGGGGACGGGCCATCCTCAGGCATCCGATGACAGGCTCACCTGTGGCCAGGTGAAGGCATGCTTGGCATCCCTGTGGAATTTTCTCTTCCATCAACATATATGCCGGCCTCTCTGGGGCCTCATTCCAGCTACAGCCCAATAACCCTCTTGTACCCAGATGCCCGATAGGCATCTCCTTCCCCGCCACGGGGGCCACGCTCACGGGCCAGGTGGCTGTGTGAGAATCACCATCCACTCTGACATCTGTGAGGGGCTGAGGCGGGTCAACACTCCCCCAAACCAATTAATCTCCCAGAGATTTGTTTCTCCGGGGACCAGAATGTGCCCACTTTCCTCAGCGTTGTTTATACTCCCTGACACTAACCAAAACACAGGCAGTTCCATTTTGAATGAACCCCCCCCCCCCC